AACCCTAAACCCGAAACCCTCTTAAAAAACAAGCAAGAGGTTCAACCCGAAGACCCCAAAGGCCCCCAAAGACGAAGCGGCGAGGCGGGAGATCCGAAGCGTCAGCGGATGCGGGCTGGCTCAGAGCTTCTTTTTTAACATGCATGTTGGGTTTAGGGTTTAGGGCCTTAATAATTACCTATACTATTTCGGGGGGGTTCCTTATTATAATAATAGTATAATGGGCCCCAAACCCTATTTCTGACATACATAAGAGTAGTTCCCTAAGTTAGGGTCCCGTTTCGGATCATTTTTATGAGGGTGCCGTACTATATTGGGGACCTAAGAGGGACCCCTATATATATATATATACATATACATACATACATACATACATACATACATACATACATACATACATACATATTCAGAGTTTTGTTACAGGCTCAGCGCTCTCCTTTTTTTGTTTTGAAGAATTGCGATGCTTTTGATAAGGTTGTCATAGACTTGCTTTAAGGGTCGTATAAGGTTTTGTATGGTTTTCGGTGGGGATCAGGAGGACTTGTTACAGGTTCTATGGAGCTTTCGGAAGAGCTCTCTAGGTGCAGGTTTCGTAAGTCTTTTGTTGTTGCGCTGGGCGGGAGGGGTTTAGTGTTTAGCGCTTGTCTGTGCGCGCAGGCGATATTGGGAGTAGTAGTTTTTTGTTTCTCCCCTTTTGTTGAAAGCTTGAGAGGTTAAAGGGTGTAGGGCTTTTGGGTTCTGCTTGCTTTTAGACGTTTTTGAGGTATTACTGGGTAGGGTCTGCATTCGGTTCCAATTTTTTTTTAAAACTCCCATGTAAAAGCAGAACTAGAGCTCTATCAAGGAAGGACATAAGGTTTAATTAGGGATGCTCTGATGGAGCCTCTTAAATGTCTTAGTGTCCTTACTACGACATGTTTTGTTTTGGAAGGGCGTGGGGCCCGGGGGTGTGATGGAGGGTCAGGGTTTCATTGGGTTCGGGGTTGAGGCAGAGGGCCTTCGCATCGGCCATGCTGCAACCGCAACAACACACATCAACATCCAGAATTTGCTACCATGCAGCGGCCTCTGTCATTCATCACTCTCTAAACCCTGAACCCTAAACCCTAAACCCTAAACCCTAAACCCTAAACCCTGAACCCTGAACCCTGAGCCCTATTTGAGTGTGGCCTTTCAGAGTTTGACGGCGAGCACTACACCGCCGAGCAGAGCTCAGAGGCCTAAACCGCCAAAAGAGGGGTGTGGAGTTTGCAGGAGCTTCGAATCTTAGGAAAAACTGCCCTCAACCCTGAACTACGACGGAATCTTAGGAAAACTCTGTTTCGCACTCCTTGCAATACCCCGAGCCCCCAAGCTCAACCCCTCCGCACGATCTCTGCAACCTTTCAACCCTGAACTACGACGGAATCTTAGGAAAACTCTGTTTCGCACTCCTTGCAATACCCCGAGCCCCCAAGCTCAACCCCTCCGCACGATCTCTGCAACCTTCGAGGTGGTGAGGATGCAGAGCCGCTCGCAAAAAAGCGGCGTCTGCTAGGGTGCACTGTTCTCTCCTGGATTTTGCTGCTTTCTAGGCAAAAGTGTGGCATGTTTGTATTTACAAATATCTGTCTACCCGTCCAGCTGTCTATCTGTCTGTCTGTCTGCCTATCCATCTATCGACCGATCTGCCGACATTTCTACCTATCTATCTGTTCTCTAACTACCTAGCTTGCTGTCTGTCTATCTATCTATCTAGCTTGCTAGCTAGCTAGCTAGCTAGCTAGCTAGCTAGCTATCTATCTGTCTATCTCTCTATCTCGCTATCTATCTATCTATCTACCTACCTACCTATCTACCTACCTATCTACCTATCCACCTATCCGCATATCTACCTATCTACCTATCTACCTGCCTATTTATCTGTCTATCTATCTATCTATCTATCTATCTAGCCAGCTAGCTCTCTGTCTCTCTATCTCTCTATCTCGCTATCTCTCTAGCTCTCTATCTTTCAATCTCTCTATCTATCTCTATCTCGCTCTCTCTCTCTCTCCCTGTCTGTTTGTCCGTCCGTCAGTCAGTTTGTCTATCGGTCGGTCTAAGTTGTCTATCATCATGAAGTAGAATTAGTTAATCCCCTCAGAAGCAACACTCAGCCGGCGAGCTTTAAGAGAGATGGCACCGTTTTATTGTGCGGTTGAGCTACTGCTGGTGCACAAACACCATCAGCGCATCCAAGTGTCCCAGCCTTGCATGTATGGATTTAGCATATGGCATCCGAATGTGTGTATAGGAGCCACAAAAAATAAACACAAAGCACCAAGTTACCACCAACCCCAAACCCTAAGCCCTAAACCCTAAACCCTAAACCCTAAACCCTAAACCCTAAGCCCTACCCTAAGCCCTAAACCCTAAACCCTAAACCCTAAGCCCTAAATGCTGAACCCAAAAACCCTGGGCCCTAACCCCAACAAGGGGCCCCCAGTCTCAAGCACACGGCGACTGGTTTCGGCTCAAAGGTCTGCGAGTCTAGATTCTGGGGTACTGGCTTTTTGGGGGTTTGGACATTTGGGGTGTTTTGAGTATCTGAGTGCATCTTCGGGATGTTTTCGGGGTCTTTGGGGCTTGTTTTCTGGTTGCGGGGCTTATCTTCTTGCCGACGGATCCGTGAGCGCCGTCCCGCGATGAAGTCTCTGAAAGCGCGTAAGGATGGTCAGCTCTTGGATGAAGGGCGGCAAGACCCCGAGAGTGCTGCTGGGACTCAATCTTAAGGGGGCTTGGACAGGAGATCAATAGGGAGGCTCCTGAGAGATAGATAGGGCGATTTTGGGTTTCAAAAAGGGTTCATAGGGACTTCTCAAGTTTTCGGCAGTTTCGGCGATTTTGGGCTTAAAAGAGGATTCATAGGGACTTCTCAGGTTTTCGACAGTTTTAGGGGCCTTCATCTTTGTTCTGGGGTGTGCTACAATCGAGCGACTCGATCCTAGGCTTATTGCTCCTCAGACATCTGCGGCTAAGCAAGCACCTAAACCCTAAACCCTAAACCCTGAACCCTAAACCCCAAACCCTAAACCCTAAACCCTAAACCCTAAACCCTAAACTGTTCGGGGATCACTGCTCTCCGGGGATTCGGAGTCTAGGGCTTTGGAATTTGGGGGTTTAGGGTTTGGGGTTTGGGGCTCAGGGTCAAAACCCCCCAGCTTTCACCCCTGAAAAGCTGTGACCCGAAACCTTAAACCCTAAACCTTAAACCCTAAACCCTGAACCCTAAACCCTAAACCCTTGTGAAATTCCTGTAGTCCGGCATGTCAATCATGTACATCAGTTGATCCTCCTCGTCGCCTGGAGGGCTCGAGGTCCGAGGTGGGAGGGTCAGGGATTGCGCAGGGCGCACATGGACTTCTGAGCTGGGAAAAGGAGCTGCATACAGGGTCTGCAGTGGTTCAGGAATCAGGGATTCCACAGTCATTTGGAAAACACTTGATCAGGGATCAGAGCTGCCAGTGGGAACTCTACCGAGTTCACACTGGTAGCGGAGCCTGTCGCTTCGCTACTTAAGCGGAAAAGCGGTACTTTGTCATTGAGCATTCTGGGTGGATTGGGAAACAATGCCTCCGAAGACAGCGGAGGCAGCGCCGGCAACCACGCCAGCAGAATCCGGAGGTTTTCAACTACCATGGACAGCAATACCGAAATTTAGCCCAGGTGTGACGGATGTTACAGAGTACAGTAGCAAGTTGCAGTTTCTGGCGGCTATGTGGCCGCGAGAACACCTTCATCTCCTAGCTCCGAGGGCGGCGCTATTATGTGAAGGGACAGCTTTCAAGAAGGTGGCGAAGATTCCAGCAGAGAAACTTAAGAGCTCCGATGAATCAGGGATTCAGCTTTTGGTATCTACTCTTGGGGGCTCTTGGGGTAAGACTGCTTTGGAAGAGAAGTACGACATCTTCGAGAAGGCTATGTATGGTACAGTACAGAAGGCAGATGAGACGAACGACAGCTACCTTGCTCGACATGATGTTCATTTTGAAGAGCTGTTATCTCAAGGGGTGACTTTGCAAGAAGTCCGAGCTTACATCCTGCTTAGACAATCACAGCTAACTGCTGAAGATCGCAAGAAGATTGTGGTGGAGATGGGGGGAAAGCTTGACTACACAAAAGTCTGCTCTGCAATACGCCTTCTAGGGTCTCGGTTCTTTTCTGACCTGCAGGGACAGCGAACGGTGAAAACCAAGACCTATGATGCCAACATGACCGAGGAAGCCCCGCCTGATGAGCCTGAAAAGGTTTATCACACCGTGACTACAGGAACCGCGGAGGAAGCCGAGCCCGAGCTGGACTCCGAGTACCTCGACACCATGATTGCAGCCGAGGATCCGGATGCGTTGGTGGTTCAAGGTTTTGAAGAAGAGCTTGAAGGGTTCTTTCAGGAGACTCCGGATCTTCAAGAAGCACTGGTGTCGTACCTGGAAGCACGTCAAAAGTTGTTATCCAAGAAGCGTTCCAGAGGTTTCTGGCCGGTGAGTGCTAACAAAGGCGGCTTCAAGGGATCCAAAGGATCCAAAGGCCGCGGCAAGAGCGGCAAAGGTGGCCGGGACCAACTCCTGGCCAGGATAGCTCGGAGTCATTGCAGAATCTGTGGGGCTAAAGGCCATTGGAAGGCTGAATGTCCACAGAAGGGTAAAGCCTCAGCATCGGCCGAAGCGACAACGACTGTCGCCGAAGTGCTCACGGGAGACACCTACACGGTTGCCGCTGACCAATCTGAAGTTGATGAAGTCCTCACTCAGATTCCAGCTGCAGCCATGGATCTCGCCGAGGCTCACATCCTCTGGGAGCCCATAGATAAGCAGGTTATATTAGGCCGGCTGAATAGGATGGTTGCCAATCTTAAGAAGCCCCTAGTCCCGAAAACCGTTCCCCTCAGGCCGAAGCCGCGTGGGGCTCCATCCATGACTGAGCCAGCGTCAGTGACCCGAAATAGGAAAACCCTAGAGCGCGCGGAGGCACCAGCCCAGGCTCTCTTTAGCACAACGGCTACCGATGCCATCCTCGACACGGGGGCCAGCCGATGTGTGATGGGCAAGAGCCTCCTGCAAGGGTTTCTCAACCAGCTGAGCGAGACAGTCCGCAATCAAGTGAAGATCATGAAGAGTGCTGTCAGGTTTCGGTTTGGAAACAATCAGACCTTAACCAGCGACCGGAGAATCTTGATGCCTTTCTTGACTGCGTCTCGCCAGATTTTGTGGTTAAGCATAGAGGTGGTTCCGGGAAGCACTCCACTTCTGTTTAGCAAGAAGGCTATTAAGCAGCTAGGGGGTGTGATAGATACCGAGACCGACACGTGCCACCTCCGTAGATTGCAGAAAAGCCTGCGAATGCGCGTGGGTCCCACCGGGCTATATCTGGTTGACCTGGCCCGCCTGTGCGAGGAAAGCAATCTGGCCCATGAATGCTTGTCTGTGAGTGAAGATGATTGCCAGAAAGCCCCTTCCCAGGACCTTTGCATGTCAGAAGCCCAAGCACCCCAATCCGAAGAGCCTACATGTATAGCACGTTCAGGTTCACTTGGGGGTTTGAAGGTTCAGAATTCACAATGTCGAAGCTTCCCTAAGCAAGCCGACGTTAATGAAATTCCACAGAGAGCCCAAGGTTCATTTGTGCGCCGTTTCAGTTTAGTCAAGCCAGATCAGGAAGTACCAACAGCAGCCGTGAGAGCAACCGCTCAAGATCCGAAGGAGCTTTCTCCTCAGCACTGTATCCCGATCGCTTCCGACAATGGCTCCGAAGCATTCCACGGTCGCCAGCTCCCCTCCCGAGACCAAAGGGTTGAGCCTCAGCGTCCGCTTCAGCCGACTCCAGGATCCGACGTCCACTCTGACTCAGGAGCAAGTGGAAACCATGCCGCTGGAGCAACTGGGACAGTGCAAGATCATGTTCGGGAAAGCCATGAAGGGACGCCTCTTCGTGGACGCCGTCCAGCACGAGACGGACTGGGTGCGTTGGATGTTGGACCACATGTCCTCGAGCACCAAAGCCGAACATGTGGCCTTCTTAACCTATGTCCGACGTCACGTAGAAGAAGCAGAGAAAGTAGAATCCGATCTAGTTCGCCCAGAAGGGGCTACTGCTTCCGAAGCCTTGGGAGCCAAGGCCGTCCCAAAGAGCCGTTCTCAGCCACGTCCCGAAGCCGAGGTTTGGGATTTGATTCAGGAAGACGAAAGCCTTGGATCCCACGGCCCCGATCCCATCCTGCAGGAACAGGTGACAATGCTCGGAGAGCGTCTGTCACAGATGGAGGGCATGATGCAACAGCTGATTCACCACCTCAGCCAGAGCTCACAAGCTGCGTAGGCGAGGTTCTGGAATGCCAAAGGGAGTTACGAGCACTAGTTGCCCTAAGCCAGATTTCTCTGAAGGAGTGTGAGCTTAAGGCTAAGGAGTTACTTGAGCAAGAAGCTTCTATGATTCAGTTGAAAAACTTCCTTAAAAAGGTTCCGTGGCATCTCCTGGCCCCGCGCAGCTCTCGAGAATGCGTTTTTGAGGAGCCACCCCAAGGTTCCGGAGGTGAGAGAAAGTCAGCGTACGTCATGTTCGGTATGTTCATGCATGGGGGGGTAACGGGAGTAACTAAAGCAGCAACAGCCTATCCCTACATCACTCGGATGCTGACTCAACTCGTGCAGTGCACCAATCCTCAACACCAATTTACCTCAGTGGGTGTGTCAGTAAACAATGTGACAAATCCGCACCGAGACAGTTTCAACTCCCGAGAACATTCCAATTTGATCATTCCTATCGAGTATCCAGCTGCCGGAGGCGAAGTTTGGGTCGCCAAGCCTCCCCATGCTCAGCAGGTTGCCATGGATCGGCAATGTGGTAAGGAAACCAAAGCAGGTTCCCTCCAAGCCTTAAAGCCCGAGATGTACCTAGACCCTCACATGTGGCATGCCAATCAGCCTTGGGTGGGAAACCGGTCCATTGTAATCGCGTTTACGCTAAAGCCGACGGAAAAGTTAGCCAAAGCTGAGTATGCGTGGTTGACGGCTCATGGCTTTAAGCTGCCCAAACAGAGTCTAGGCTCAGGTACAGTACGGTTTGCCCCAACAGTTGACATGATCAGCCCTTCGGGTCGTGTTCTCCTGACTAGTGAAAGCACGTGTTCCCTGCCAAAACCGCCAAAGTCAACCCTTCGAGCCGAGCTGAACGAGGCCAAAAGCCTGCTACAGCCATCCGCCAACCAAGCCAATGCAATCACTGCGGCACATGCGTGTGCCAATGCCTTTGCCAGAGCTGAGCAGACTGCTTGGGATGTGTTTCAAGACTCCCAGTTAGCCTATAAACAGCCCCTAGGACCCCAGTTGGATGTTCTAGAAGTTTACGCTGCTGAGGATAGTCGTCTAACCCAGGAAGTAAATGCGCAAGGGGGCCGAGCCCAACGGTTTACTGCAAAAGACGGTGACCTCCGCACTGCCGCGGGTCAACGTTTGCTGTGGGATATCCTCCAGGAGACACAGCCCAAGCACATTTGGATGAGTCCGAGCTGTCGTGCCTGGTGCTCCTGGAATGCTTTGAACGCTTCCAGAGGGCTGCAGCAAGCATTCCGAGTGCGACAGATGCGCCAGGAAGATGCAGCGCATCTCCAACTTTGTGCCCAGGTCTTCCAATGGCAGGTGGCACATCATCGTCACTTCCACTTTGAACAGCCAGCCCAATCGAAGATGCTAGATAGTCCCGACCTACTTCCGATCGTACAAAAATCCCATAAGGTTTTGGTTGACATGTGTGCGTTTGGTCTAAAAACTCCTGTCACCCAAGTTGCCATTCGTAAGCGAACATGCATTCTAAGCACATGTCCCCTCTTGATTCGTAGCCTAGTGCAAATGCAGTGTCCAGGACATACCGAGCATCAAGCTGTGTCGAGAAAACCTCGCCAACTGGGAGGAGTGTCTGCTGCGCAGTATGCCGGATCTTACTGCAAAGGTTTCGCACGACATGTGGCACGCCAGCTTCTTCAGAGTCATTTGGAAATGAGTTTGGCTGCCGAGGATGTAGTGCCCGTTACTCGTAAGCGCCAGAAAACATCCCTAAGCCAGGCTAGTCCCATTAGTCGGTTCGGGTCTTTAAAGCGCACTGGAAGTCTGTCAGTAGACGGTGAGCGACGCAGCCAGCCTCAGCCTCGTGTTGACTCCACGGATTCCTCCAGCGCTGAGCGATCGCTCTCCGAGAGCGAATGGAAACCAGCTTTTGAGCTGGTTCATCAACTAACCAACAAAGTAGCCCCAACCCTGGTGCCGCCTAGTAATCAACTCATGGAAATGCTACAGACCCTTCTACCTGATCATCAAGTACTACAAGCGTTTGTTGGTTGCGGTGGTAGACAGCTCCATTGGCCCCTAGGCGCTCTCCCTACAACTGTAGCTCCCTACAGAATCAACATTTGCCAGAGGACCAAGCCCGACGGTCAGATGGAATATGTGTGGTTAAGTCGAGAGCTTCGCAGCGCAGTGGAGAGCACGCAGAAGAGGCGACGCATCGGGGTGGTAGACTACCTTCTTACGGTTTTAATACAAGATAAGATAGTCAGGAACCCCAATGCCAATCCGATTGCAGACTCATCTGCTCCGGCTGATGCCACCTCGACGGCACCACGAGCCGAGTCCGATCTAGAGGGCTGGGCACCTCCACCGACGCCACTGCACGGCCCGGCCTTTAGGAGCCTGGATAACGACTCAAAGCTGATGTTGATCAGGATCCATAAGAACCTAGGTCACCCTGCCCCGACAGTGCTGTCGCAACATCTAAAGGCCGCTGGTCAAGATAAAGCCCTAGTTGAAGCAGCCCTAGACTACCAATGCGACACATGTCTAGAATCCACTGAGCCCAGACACCAACGTCCCAGCAAACTCCCCGAGCCAAGGGAGTTCAACGAATTAGTCGGGATAGATGGGTTTTACTTCAAAGGGCAGTCGGGATATCGAGCGTATGTGGTACATGCACTAGATGAAGCAAGCTGCTTTCATCAGGGTCGAAGAACACAATCCCGCCATTCGTCTGAAGCAATGCAAACTTTAAGTGACTGTTGGCTGGCATGGGCTGGGAATCCAAAGAAAGTGTATCTCGACCCTGCAGGTGAGTTTCGTTCGGAACAGATACTTGATCAGTTCCAAGGTTTGAGCATCAAGACCTTTGTAACCGCTGCTGCCTGGCAGCGCGGACGCATTGAACGCCATGGCGACATTGTTAAAGACATGCTCACGCGGCTAGATAACGAGACTCCCCTAGTAAACGATGTTGCCTTCGATTGCGCACTGACACAGGTCTTTCAAGCTAAAAATGCCCTGGTACGTCACCAAGGATACTCGCCTGAGCAGATAGTCCTAGGGAAGTCGGTTCAAGTCCCCGGTAGCTTGACTTCAGATGAGGATTTGTCGTCCCATGCTATGGCCCTAGGAAACGAACTTGAAGCTGAGAAGCACAGGCAACGCCTTGAGCTAAGATGCGCGGCTAGAAAGACTTTCTTTGAGGCTGACAATTCGCAAGCCATTCGGCGAGCAGTCCTCCGTCGGAGCACTCCAACTCGTGGTCCCTACTTAGCCGGGTCTTGGGTGCTTTACTGGACCAAGAAGAGCTCCCCTAATAGACTCGCTGCTGGTCGCTGGCATGGGCCAGCTAAAGTAATCTGTCAGGAGGGTCAATCCATTGTCTGGATAGCCCACGGAACCACGATTTTGAGATGTGCTCCGGAGAACCTCCGTCCAGCCTCACTGCGTGAGTGGCAACATTTGTCGACAAGTGCGCGCGAAGAGGCCCCCAGCCGTGTAGGAGGGGCTAGTTCCTATGTAGACCTTACGGGTACCGGATTGCCAACCTCTAATCTCCCGGAGGTTCTTAGGAGTAGCCCGAGTGTCGACATGCCTGTGCCTGGTGGACATGAACCACCCAATCCATTGGCTGCCCGAGAAGCCTCCTCTCAGGAACCAGACCTTGCCCAACCAGAGCAAGAGCTGACCCCGCAAGTAAGTGTACAAGATCCTGAGAGCCTCGGCCCCTCAAGAGCGCCTGAAGTCGAGCACGAAGCCGGTGCTCCTTCCCTTTCAATGCCATTTAATGGTCAAGAGACCCCGGCTCCTTCAGAGGTTCCTGCACCGTCCAGTGTGGATGCCTCGCAAATACCAGTGCCTGAGTCCGACGATGGACTCTGTAGTGAGCCTGTCCTTCTTACATCAGAGACTACCATAGAGCCAAGTGATAATGAGCCAGAACTCCTGACTTTCACCACGCTTCTGGCCAGCGACTCTTCCCAAGGTCCTCCGTTGGCTGAGGATAATCTTCCGTATGTCGAGCACCCTTTGGAATGTTCCGAAGAGCAAGCTTTCAGTCTAGAAATACCTCTGAAGCCACGAGACCTTGAGTTATGGTCCCAAGAGTCTGCTCCTGAGCAACTTGCCACTTTGGCTGCCGTGGGCAAACGTGCCCGGGCCGAGGTCCGTGTAAAGGATCTAAGCCGTGCCGAGATTGCTCTCTTTGAACAGGCCAAACAAAAGGAGCTTCAGTGTTGGATACAAACTTCGGCCATCAAGAACATCCTCCGCCAGAAGTTAAATCCCTCACAGATCCTGAAGTCCCGATGGATTTTAACATGGAAAGCTCCAGAGCCTGGTGAATCTCAAAAACGAGCTAAAGCCCGCCTTGTTGTCTTAGGCTTCCAGGACCCTAAGTTGGTAGAAGTTATGAGGGATGCGCCGACACTGTCCCGAGAGGGACGGGCAACTGTTCTTCAAACAATCGCCTCATGCCACTTCCCCTTGAGCTCCTTTGACATCAAGACAGCATTTCTGCGAGGCAAAGCTGATGAAGGAAACCCGCTGGCAATGGAGCCCCCGCCCGAGCTTCGAAAATTACTGAAGCTTCGAGATGATGAGGTATGTCAGCTAGTGGGAAATGCTTCTGGTAGGGTAGACGCCCCTCTTCTGTTCTATAAGGAGCTATGCAAGCAGCTAAAGCTACTTGGGTTCACGCCTCATCCTCTTGAGCCTTGCGTATTTCTTCTAAAGACAGATCATCGCCTGCGAGGAATCCTAGGAGTTCACGTTGATGATGGTGTGTGCGGCGGCGATGAATACTTTCACCAAAAGATAGACGCCCTTCAGAAGGTCCTTCCTTTTGGAAGCCGCAAGCATCAAAGCTTCGTGTTCACCGGAATCCAGCTTGAACAATTTCCGGACTTCTCAATCCGCGCCTCGCAGTCTGAGTATGTCCATAAGATTCCTCATATCGATGTCGGTCGTCATCGTCGACAAAGCCCAGATGTCGCTGTGAACGAAGATGAGCGCACCAAACTGCGTGGCCTTATAGGCAGCCTACAGTATGCCGTCACCCATACTCGCCCGGATATCGCTGCACGATTAGGGGAGTTGCAAAGCCAAACGACTAGCGCCACAGTGCAAACGTTGTTAGCTGCTAATAAAGTGCTGAGGGAGGCTCAGGAGTATCACCAGGTGTGTATCTTCTTCCGTGCCATCCCGGTTGAGCAGCTGACTTTTGTGGCATTCGGAGATGCATCATTTGCTTCCTCCAAGAATCTCAACTCCCATCAGGGAGTTTTAATCTGTGCCACCGATGACCGCCTTGATCAGAACCTGGAGGCTCCCTTGTCCCCCTTAACCTGGTCCTCTAAGAAGATCCCTAGGGTAGTCCGGTCCACACTTTCAGCGGAAGCCTACGCGATGTCCAAAGCGGTGGATTTGTTAGGATGGATCCGTGCACTTTGGGGGGTCATCCATATCCCGAACTTCCGATGGCAATGTCCAGAAGAGGGTTTTAGACAGTTAAGGACGGCTATTGTAGTAACAGACTGCAAAAGCCTCTACGACTTGGTTACCCGCCTAGCAATGCCAGCATGCGAAGAATACCGGACCACGCTTGAAGTTCTACTTATCAAGCAAAGGTGCATGGAAAATGCCAGTTTTCGCTGGGTGCCGACAACCCTTCAGGCCGCCGATTGCTTAACAAAGGCTATGGACTCGAATCTTCTTCGAGCTGTTCTGGCTCGTGGGAGATTTAAGCTCTTTGATCCATCGCAGACATTAGAGAAGGATGCACAACGTAAGAAGGCCATCGAGTGGTTGCAAACACCCCATACTTCCTGATCTTGCAGAGTGAAGCGCAGCTCGGCACCGAGCGAGTCTTCGGACAAGACTCCCTACAGGATACTGAGCTGAAACAGCTCAGAGCTTTTCATGAGTCTTCGGACAAGACTCCCAGTACGTCAGCCTCGGGATCCTGATGCACTTGATTGAGAAAGAATGGTCAGTGTGAAATTCCTGTAGTCCGGCATGT